CTGCTCTAAGGCACCACATTGATGGAGGCCACTGCTCCACTCCACCTGACGATGACCCGCCCCTCCTGTGGCATCATCCGCTGATCATCTCCGGACTTCATGGCGGGACCTTTGACCATCTCATGCTCATGGCCTACAAGTCCCTGATTCGACGACTTGGCTATATCTGCGGACTTTGTGGACATCAGTCAGGGAGCTCAGTTTCCTTGCTGAAACACCTGGGGAACCAGCACAATGAGCACTGGCCTCAAGCAACCACCTATGCGGAATGGCTTCAAACGGATAGTGCCTTGAGGAATCTGCGGTGCTCGTGCCTCCGGCCTCCAACGACACCACATGTTTGCACAGTCTTCACACAGCTGGCCCTCTTTGTCCATCATGACTTGACCAGACTTCACGGAGGCAGTGACGATATGATCATGTCCTATGCACTCCGGCTTGATCTACAAGTTCTGAACCCTACCATCTCACTCTCCTTTCCTGACCTGGACAGCAAACTTGCCACTGGCCTCTTTGCAGAGCTCATTGAGGATGACACACTCTGCACAGCCCTTAGCACCTGGTGTTGTCTGTGCGGGAGGCAAATTGATCCACGTGACATGCTCCAACACCTGTGGAATCAACATGCCAAACATGCCAACAGGGGCAGTTTGTTTCACAAGTACCTCACCATGTTTCAAGTGAAGCAACCAACCTGCTCCATTTGCAAGGGTCATCCCACCGCAGCTCAGTGCCCGATTCTCCTGCAACTGGCCTCTTTGCTTGCCATCCTTCATCATGGACATGGAAACGGGGGAAGTCTCCGAGATGTGGGGTGCACTGAACCAATGGGTCAAGATGGAGGTCGACGAGGAGAAGCAGAGTGCCAAGAGGCCCCGATCCATCACGTCGAATGGAGGGAAGAGCCAGGGACAAGGAAAAGGAAGAAAAGGCCAGGTGAAGAACCAGATCACCAATGGAGAGTCCACACCCAACACAAACAACCTGCTGCAGGTACTGAGCAGGCTAGTGCTAAGGCACGAAGACACCCTCCAGTGTCTGGCCACGGAGACGGACTTCTTCGTTTTTTTGAGCGCGGGCCCAGGGTCCGTCCTACCTTGCATGATGGCTCAGACCACCACCTGGCATCAGACACCTCAAAGCGAGAGGACACACCCCTTGAGGATCCTGGTTCTGAAATCACTGCTGGAAGAATTGGTGAAGAGGAGACAGAAACTTCAATCCACGGCCTCCTCAGATCCCTTGATCCAGACATTGCAACGCCTGGGATTCCTGAAGATCGACCTGGAGAATGGGAACAACTACTTTTTCCCAAGGATGAAGTGGGATCATCAGAAGCAGGCGATGGAAGCCCAAGAGGATGCTCCTCTCACAGTCCAGCAGGCTCTGCACACCCTAGCACGGATGCTCACTCTCTTGCAACAGGAGGACCTGATCAAGCGATTTGGGGCTCTGCGTCCGGCCCAACAGATTCAGAAAGTCATGACCACGGACACCGACAAGCCCTCCGCAGTGATTCCATGGCGGGTCACCTTGGCCTTGACCAACACACACTCCACCGAGATGAGAGGGCTTTGGCACCAGCTCAGCCACTCCGGGCTTTGGCAACTGATCTTGGGCAGGATGCGACCCGCAACCCTGCACAGAACACCTCTGGCTCAACACCTGGGCAAATTGCTTGGGGACCTCTGATCAAGTATGATCTTGCACCACTGAGGCCACTGACGAATCCGGCATCAGCTTGCTACATGAACTCGGTGGTCACGGGATTGGTGTGGAGTGCTCAATGGGCAGGAGGCTTGAGTGAGGACCACTGGTCCAACTTTCCGAGGGTCTTTGAGACCATTGCAGATGTGTCACCAGAGGGAGAACCACTTCTATTGTGGGCAGATGGGCAATGGACCACCTTACTTTCCACGTGGCCGGAACCTTTTAGACAACATGATGTCATTGATTTTGCTCATCACCTTCTTCAACAGCTGAACCCCAACTTTCTCAGTTGTTGTTGGGAATCCCGGCTGGAACAGGATGGGGAAATCCGTGTGGTGGATCAAAGTGCCCTGGGGTGCCCTTTGCACCTATACATCTGCAGTGAGCAAAAGAATGCACTGCTGCCAACTGACCTGCAAGGTTTGATCTCCAACTGGAGCCTGGCATCTTTCGGTCTCCATGGGTTGACGGAACCCGCAGACGTCACATGCCTCCACATCGATCGCTTCGACTCGAGGGGCAAGAAAAATCGAACCAGACTCAGCTGGGACTCTAAGGTGTGGATGCCTTTCTTCTACAACAACAAGCTTGGCATCGACCACATTCCATTTGTGGTCACGGCAGTATCCTATCATTTGGGCTCGGAGCCCACCTGTGGACACTATTGCACGGCGGTCCTGGCGGGTGGCTTCTGGTGGGTCTTCGACGACGGCTCCAAGCCGGAGAAGTTCGACCGAATCCCAACTGTGATTCAGGAGAACTGCTGTCTTCTATGGCTCAACTGCACGCCGCATGGAGGTGCAGAACCAGTCTCAAAATTGACGGAGGAATCTCCTATTCTCTCTGAGGAGGAGAAGCTTGAGCACATCATTCATGACCCCTCCATCAATGACGACTGGCACCACAAATGGCTCCAAGCCATTGACAGGCTTGATGCTGACATCCTGGTGGACCACCCGGGACTATGCCATCGGCTGGTGAAGAAGTGCATCATTTGCCAAAGTTGGCCTCGTGACATGAATGCACACCTGGAAGTTGCACATCGAGAACTGTGGGAGGCCTCCCTGCCGGTGGCCGAAAAATGTGGTGCTGCCTTCAATGCCAAAGCACACCCAACCAGGTGGTGTGCCTGCCAGCCATACTACACAACTGAGCTGTCTGAGGACCACCCGTGTCCATGCCTACGCCAATTTGGCATTTTGCACTTGGCATTGCGGAAAAGCCAGCCAATTTCTGCCAGATCGAATCTGGCACGCTTGCTCGATTTGACCTTCAGCTAAATGCTGAGGCTGGAACGTCCCTTCGGGGACCAGGCGGATCAATGGATCCACGCCATCATCACTCGATGAGCGTAGAGAGAAAGAAAGAGATGATGATGATGATGATGATGATGATGATGATGATGATGATGATGA